CAGTTTGCCCTTCTACATTTTTTTTTTTTAAAGATTAGGAAAGCTAGGCTGACAACTTCCACAAAGACTGAAGCAGTATTATGTTCTTCTGTACTAAAATAGAACACCCACAAGGAAAAATAATACAGAGTTTTGGCTCACAATAAGATATTGAAAAAATAAACCATACTGGCATATTTAGTATAGGACATGCTATATCCTATAGCATAGGATATGAACATGGACCTGATTTCTCCTATCAATTTCTAAGGAGTTTTAGAACCAATATTTTAAATTAGTACATTCCATATACATTGTATTCTTAGTTCTCTAAGACCAAATTTTGTCACCACCACGCACCATGCCAGCATCTCTATCTTGTTGTCTTGCCTTTAGTTCAGGTAACTGTTTATAATCTGAAATTATCTTTTACATGTGGTTGTCTGGTTGACTTGTTAGAATTAAAACATCATTCCATCGGGGACTTTATTCTTATCAGTGTAATGCCAGCATATAAATACAAAAACTATTTCTCGTTAAATAAAACAAAAGTGACCTATTAAATGTCTTTTCTCTACCAATGAAGTGGAAAACTGTAGCACTTATATTTTTCATGGTGATACATTTTAATTAAAGATAGTATTTGTCAAGTATAGGAAATGTATAAGATCCAGTGAGTGTATTTGTTAACAGTGTCAAAAACTGATATTTTGCATATGAATATTTTCTGTAATTGTTAATTAGACATACTACTTTACTGACCTCTACTTCATAAAGCCTCCAAATGTTAGGGAAAATCATGATTTGACAAAAAGCATATTCTACATCTAATGTGGAAAGGAAAAGGTGATTGCATATCTGTACTATTTTTAAATGTAAAAAAGATATCAACAAATAATAATATATTTGATACTTATATGACTAACTTAGCTATAGCAACTATAATAAGAGACTGACTACTTTGTTCTTCTATATTAGCAATCTTATGTTTAAAGGAAAACTAAAGACCACTTGAAATAATCATCATTTACTAGGGTTTTAGAAGAGGTATTTCACTTTGGTGAGGATATTATAAGTTTAGGTGCTCTGAAATTTGGGATATATCCCTAGATTCGTTAAAATTCCATGGGCTACAGGAAAAAAGGAAATTCAAAGTTGATTTCCAAAATTTTCAAGTGTTTTCAAAAGTAGCGTCCTACCTGATAACTTTCTTTCCTATCAACTGGCTTTCCGACTAAATATATTAAAATATTCACAAATACAGAGTATGTAAAGATACACTGTCTTAAAGTATTTATTTAATATTATCTATATAAATTAATGTTGCCCTGACTATCTTTTGAAGAGCACTCTCCTGGGAAATGTCAAACTGTCTGGCACATAAGGACCTTAGCATTTTTGGGGGAGCGTCTATCAAGTGAGAACCCTATAGCTATTGAGACCCATGTTTGGGAAGATATAGCATAAAGTTTTATAAGGTAATTCAATAGGTCAAATAAGATAAGCTCTATGATTCCCAAAAGATGCAAAAGAAACCTTTATTTAAAAAAATTCATATCTACCTTATTACCCTCTGTAGGAAACAGGATGAAGTTTCTTCAAAAAGTTAAAAATAGAACTACCCTATGATCTGATCCAGTAATCACACTACTGGGTAATTATCCAAAAAATACAAAAACATTAATTCAAAGGGATACATACACACCTATGTTTATTGCAGCATATTTACAATAGCCAAACTATGGAAGCAGCCCAAGGATCCATCGATTGATGAATGGATAAAGAAGAGGTGGTGTGTATACATACATACATACATATATATATATATATATATGTATGTATATACACAACGGAATATTATTCAGCTATAAAATCTTGCCATACGCAATGACATGGATGGAGCTAGAGAGTATAACGCTAAGCAAAACTAGGGAAAGACAAACATTATATGATTTCAATCATATGTGGAATTTAAGAAACAACAACAACAAAACGAGCAAAGGAAAGACAGGGTTGGGGCGGGGGGGAGAGGCAAACCAAGAAACAAACTTTTAACTATAGAAAACAAACTGATGGTTACCAGAGGGGAGGTGGGTGAGGGTATGGGTGATGGGGATTAAGGAGGGCACTTGTCGTGATGAGCATTGGGTGTTGCATGGAATTGCTGAATCACTATATTTTACACCTGAAACTAATATTACACTGTATGTTAACTATACTGGAATGAAAAGAGAACTAACCTTCTCAACAAAAAATTACCTTTGTGAAACCAATATAAACCAATTATTAACCATAACTGATGGGTAAGTATTAGAACAGTTTTGGTAAATTTCAAAAACAGACCCTCGTATATGAATAAGTAAGAATTACAATTAAATGGAGCAAAATAGTATTATGAATAACTGAAGCTAGAAAAATAATTGAAATGGATATAAAACTGCTGTAAAGATGACTAAATTTTAAGATAAGAAAAATCACAAAAGCAAAAATTATAAAATTTTTATATATCCAGATATAAAAAAAAGTGAGAAAATATACTTAAAAGGTAAATATTGATGCTCAATGAGCTAACATGTGTAAATCAATAAGAAAAAGACTAAGACAACACAATTCACAAAGAAGGAAATACAAATGGACTGTTAAATACTTGAAAAAATGTCCAACTTCATCAGTACTCAAAGAAAGGCAAATTAAGATAAAACAGAACTTTCTACTTTATTAACAAAAATCTTTAAAAATGACAGTATTCAACCAAAGTGTGTTCATAAACTAATACTAAAAGTGGGTGAAATTAGAATGATACTTTTGAAAATCAATTTGGCAGCATGCATCAAAAAGTCTTAAAACTTTATCCTAATAATTACAAATATTTGTCAGCCATTTATGCATAAACATATCACACTGAAAAGACGGAAATAACTATTGTTCTATGACCTCATTAAGACTAATGCAAATTAAATTAGATATGACATACCCAGTGAATGCAATGACACAGGTATTGCAAATGACAAATTAAGAATCACAAGAATAACAGGAAACATTCAGAAAGTACAGCAAGATGCTAAACAGCATATTCAGTACTATCATATGGCTACTATTAAAAGGTAGAAAATTTTAAAACTGAAAGAAAGATGTGCCAAAATATTAACAGGGATTTTTTTTTTTTTTTGGATGGGACGATTATGGGTAATGGTCTTTCGATCAATTACTTTTTAGGTGTTTTCTGTAACACAGCCGTATTATTTTTAAATTGGAAAAATAAAATGAACTTCGTTATTAAAAATAAAATGCCTTCCCACCAACAGTGTAGGAGGTGGATATTAAAGAGGGCACGTACTGAATGGAGCACTGGGTGTTATTATACACAAACAGTGAATTATGGAACACTACATCAAAACTCATGAAGTAATGTATGGTGATTAACATAATAAAATAAAATTGAAAAAAAATAAAATGCCTTCAGGAGAAAGGAAAATTTAAATGAAAACATTACTGAGATTACATTGGATCTAACATTTCATTAAAATTTTTGTTTCCTATCAGGTTTTAACTTTCCAGGTTGATAGAAGAGAACTGCTGAGAGGCTCTATATAGGCAGACCAGAGGGTCTGGGCAAACCCACAAATACAGCCCATGTGCTTGCTATCAAGTAACTCATCTAGGTGACACTTTGGCCGATACTAAATGAACTAATGTTCTAATATAAGAATGTCTGGTAAATTAGGCGTAGTCAATTATTTTAAAATGATTTCCAAAAACATTAAAATCAATATTAAACCTTTCTGATCTCCATTTTAGTTAACACTTTAAGATATTTTTGAGAACACTTCCTGAATTTCAAGTGTACTCTTCTAAATAAGAAGCTGTGCTTACATGATTATTTTTTTCTCCTGGAAGAAACGTGTGATACATTAAGGTACTCAGTTTGCTTTATTAAAGATAAAATATGTCTGTAAAAGTGAAAGTAAAAGAGGCAAAGAAGGCATCTCTGTCTACCCCTGGGGAAACTTTAGGTGAATTTGCAGCCCTGAGTTGTAAACTATGGTAATTTAGCAGTGAAGTTGATGGATTTTAATTAAAGCCTTCTGCAATCCTTAGTGGCTTAGAGGTGGAAGAACCAGAATTTTGAGGGAGTGAAATGTAACTACAATTTACTTAATTCTTTCGCTTCTAAGTTAGTGGTATCCTCTAGCTTTGGAATATATACATAGATATCTTTGTAAAACTGTAATTTTTCTATTTTTTTCCCAAGAGCTTTTTATTAAAGAAAATTTCAAAATATACAGAAGTAGAGCAAATGGTATAGTGAACACACCCTTCCCTCTAAGCACCCATCACCCAAGTTTAGCAACTATTATTTATAGCCAATCTTGTTTCATCTACACACCCGCCTATTTTCCTGGTCATGCTAGACTATTTTGATTGAAATCTCAGACATACTTTTGTCTGTAAAATTTCAGGATAAGTCTCTAAAAGATACTTTATAATATATTCGCAACAACATTGTCATGTCTACAGGAAAAAAAAAAGGTATTCAAATATTTCAGACTGCCTTTGTCTATACTTGTTTGGATTAGAATATACGTAAGTTCCATTTATTGCAATTGGTTGATAAGTCTCTTAAGACTCTTTAATCAATACATTTCCCTCCATCACTTTTTCCCTCCCTTAGAATATTTTGTTGAAAAAAACAAGTTACTTGTCCAATAGAATTTCCCAGTTTTCTATAGTTGTTAATTTATTGATTGACATAAACCATTACCGATTGGTTACTGAAGTAGCAGTCACAACAGCGCGAATATACTGGGACTACAAGAATAGACCAGGGGACCAGTATTACCTACAACCGATGACCAGTTAGGTAAAAGCACTACTTGTGAGTAAACTAAAGGGGGAAAGCCATTTAAAAAAAAAATGCTCTACAACTTAACTATACAAATAGGTGATCATATCGTCTTTTTTCACAGAAGTTTATTAAACTGCTAATAACCAGTACAAATAGCAAAGCTGACAGTACTCACCAGTCTTCATTTCTAATAAGCGCTTTTTCTTTTGTTGGCGTTCAAGCCTTTCCTTCTCTGCCAATTCTTTGGCTATTTGGGCACGTTTTTCCCTTTCCTCTGCTTCTCTTTTTTTGACATTCTCCTTTCTTGCTTGCTGTTACAAACAAATTGTGGAAAATGATCAATTTTAACCACAGCGATTCCACAAAAATTATTAATCTGTAGAAGTGTGATTAAATATCTTTTAGATAATGGCTACTTCTAATATTAGTAACACAGTCTTTTAAAAGATTAGCACAGGAACCCTTGTTAAATATGGATCTATAAATACAACTTATGTTTGAAGCACCTGCATCTTAGTGGAATCAACTAAGAGAAGGGAGACAGAAACTAAAAATAAAAAAGCACTTAATTTACAAATCAAAACTGTCTCCCTATATGTATTTCCAAAAGAGGGTCTAGCAAATGTATTAGAGCCTCCCATACATCCTCTGCTAGGTAGCTACTGAGTACCAGAAAAGTAGTTGAAAAAATGATAGAAAAGAGCTGAAATTTTGCAATGATTGTTTCATATTACAGTCCATCATTTAACAATTTCTTTCATATAAAGACAAGTGTCACAGGATGACTAGAGGAGTATCTGGCATTTCAAAGCTAGACCTCTGACTTCTCCTCAAAACCAATAACATGTGAACTATAGGATCCTGAACAGATATGTGATTTAATTCTTTATTTTCTAAGTTTTGTACAAATCAAGAAACACCTCTCACATGGCATTAGCGTGAATTAACAGGTAAACAAGGATTTTTCTATGTGCCAACAAACAGCATAGCACATATTACAATCTCCTATTGTGATTCTCAGTACCAAGGGATGCAAACAGACTATCTAATTGCTTGTTTATCACTAATATTAGTGATTAATAGTATTAATATTAATACTATCAATATTAGTATTAAATAGAAACATGCATAACTAAACTTTAACAAGTAGGTGGCTTATGTTATTTTTGGGAGAAACTTTCATTTCTCTACTGTCATAGTCTCTGTTTTTGTTAACCCTAGAGAGGGTACATGGTCTTCATTAGAAATCAAATAGCAAAATTTAATATTATTGACCAAAACGATGAAAAGTACATGGAAAAAAAAGGAGGAACAAAAAGCCTAGGTTAGAAGCAATAATAATTCATCCATCCAGACCTTCATGCAATACATACCGAGACACCGAATAATAAGTGGTATTATGCTAATATCACTTGGCATATATATATGTGTGTATATGACTTATATATGCATAGATGTATATATAGTTCTAAATAAAACAAGTTTATATTCTGTGTGATAGGGTGGGCCAGGAGGCAAAGACAGACAATAAATAAAAAGAGTTTGATAAATATTGTACCATGAAAAAAACAAGTGATGTGATAGAATGCTTGGGGAGGTACTTTACACTGAGGCGGTCAGATAAGGCCTCACTCACTGATTGATTCATGCTGAATCTTTAATGTCAAACAGCTAACTAGGTGATAACCTGGGGGAAGAACAAATGCAAAGGCTGTTGGTGTGTTTGAGAGAAAGAGAAGGCCAGTGTGACGGTAGAAGAGGAGGTGAGGAGATATGCTGAAGCCTGATCACTTAGGGTCTTCTAGCCAAGATAAGGAGGTGGGATTTTCTTTCAAGGGAACTGGAAAACAACTGGAGATTTTCAATCAAGAGAGTGCAAGACCAAGCACTCTAAGGTAAAAGTGCTAATCAAGCACCTTCGTTCCCAACAATCTTTTCAAAGATATATTATGAATAGTCTTGGAAGATAGAGGTAGAGTCTTCCTCTTAAGTAAATGGATTTGTTCACCAGCCAGTATGTAAACTGGGGCAAAGGTTGGGCTGTCTTATTACCTCTTAAAAAAGACTGAGTTCCCTTTATTACCTCTTAAAAAAGACTGAGTTCCCTAAGTTCACGATTTCACTCCAGTAATACAAACCACTGTGCATGTAGGTATTAAACTGGCCTTCTTCACATCACCCCGTGGGAATAGAGACTCAGGAATCTACACAACTGTTGACTCTGGCTAGTGCTATTACTGTAATAAATTCTTTGACTCCAGTCTTGTGTCTTCTGCCAACATTCATGAAGTGATGGCAGGCTAACAAGGTAAATTCTCCTATTCCTCACAGTTCATGACATATATTAACACTATTACTGCTAAGCTACGAAACGCCGGCTGCAGTAATAGGTGCTTTCCCATGCAATCCCTCCAATCTTCAAAATGGATTCTGCATTCTCCATTTGACACAGAATGGTCAATAGTTGCTCACTGTAATGAATGTAGGAAGAGGCAGAGGCAGGACGGAAAGCCTGCCTGTGGTGTATGTTCTTTCTACCATGCTGCTTCAGACTTATGGCAGCATATGTTAAGCACCAACTCTAAGACAAAGGCTGCTATAAAAATCAAGATAAGGAAGGTAGGAAAAGGCAGCATAAAAGTAGAAAACAAGTGTGGTTTCAAAGACAAGCATGTATACGTGTGTACATGGGTACCCATGTGTGTATAGGTAAGGGGGACAGGGAAGATGGGATTGTGGTAAAGAAAAAGATGGGCAAATATTCAGAAATCAAAACTGTATTTCTTACTTGAGGGAAATGAGTAAGAGGAACCTACAAAAAATAAAAAATATATATATCATGTAGCTTATTTATTAAACTTATTAAAGTACAAAATTTTCTGATGTAAATTTTCTACTTTAATGACTGGATGCATTTCATTGAGAACATTTAATAGACAACCTATAACCAGACATAATTGCCACACCCTTTTAGTATTCCATTGGGCAAGAAGAAGTCAAAATTACTTCCTGGGACCTATAAAAATAATGTTTACATTTAAGGAATAAGCTCTGTATAGTTCTTAAAGCGGTTTTGTTTTATGGAAAATGCACTACTGATTTTCATTTAAAAGCCAATCTCATTTAAAACATATCTTATTCTGACACTATAACTACTAGAAGAATTTCAGGTGGAAAAATACCAACAGACAGCATAGAAATAGATATTTAGTCTGAAACTAATATCCCAGTTCAAACAGTAATTGGGAATTTTCTTTTATTCTAAATGTTGAGAAGCAAAAGCAGCTGAAAACAGAAAAGATGAACAGTTAGAAAGCCACAGTATTCTAGATACAACTGCCTCTTAGTAACTTCAATTCTAAATTCAAAGCTAGAAAGAAAAGTTAAAGATGAGCTATACATAAAGATAGCTGTAAGACATTGATTTTTTAATCCTCTCATTTTAACTTTTTATTTTTAGTATAGTTCACACATAATGTTATGTTAGTTTCAGGTGTACAACTTAGTGATTTGACAAGTCTATATACATTATGCTATGTTTCCCTTATTCTTGGCCTGGTTTTCTATTTAGTCAATTGGCAAATAAACTGCACCGCCACCAACTACTTTCAGCTCTGCAATGCCAAAACAATTTCTCTGGATGCTTGCAGAATGTTCCCGCGATAGCCTGGCACATGTTCGGGTCTGAAAGATCTGTGGGCAATGACCACAGACGGTTTTAAAACTTCAGTCACATTTTGACTGTTGGTTTCAAAGTTGTAATCAATAATTTACCTGAGCTCCTAAAGCTCACATGCATTTTATGGTAACAGCAGACTTTAAAATAGCTCTATAAAAATACATAGGTAGGCTAAAAAATAAGTGTACACAAGAATATAGATATGTCAAATATATGTACATATGTGTGTGTGTTCTAAAAAAAATGAGCTCACAATTATTTCCCACCTATAATTTGTTTTCTGCATAACAAGAACTTTGCCACGAGTTTCAATATACATTATAGCATCATACATTTTGTCCCAGAGAAACCAAAATGACTCAAAGCCAGTGAATTTCAATAAGCGCACACAAGTGTGTGTGTGTGTTTAGAATTAGAACAGTCTGGCAGAATACGCTGTGACTATTCTCCTAAACATTATCTCTGAGCTTTTTTTTTTTTTTTAAATTCATCTTTATTACAAACTTCTATGACTTGCTTTTTCCATTCAGCATTATATTTCTAAAACTCATTCACATTTTTATATAAAAATAGAACCTCATTTTCACCGCTTATAATATTAAGTCATTTTATTATTTACTCACCTATGGGTGGGATTTGAACTGCTTTGGATTTTTGGCTATGATGAACAATGCAGATACCAATATTTTTACACATGTCTCCCTGTACCTATGTGTAAGAGTTTTTTAATGGTAGATCCCATTAGTTCGTTCTTTTTTTTTTAAAAGATTTTATTTATTTATTAGAGAGAGAGCACATGAGAGGGGGGAGGGTCAGAGGGAGAAGCAGACCCCCCGCCGAGCAGGGAGCCCGATGCGGGACTCGATCCCGGGACTCCAGGATCATGACCTGAGCCGAAGGCAGTCGCGCAACCAACTGAGCCACCCAGGCGCCCCCATTAGTTCGTTCTTAAATCTGTTTAGAAATTGTTGATAGTTTCTTTAAGTGAAAGAGAACAGAACATTTTAGAATGTAACACAAGCAGTAAGTATTCTTTGTTGATGCTTTTTGTTTTTGTTCTAAGGAGTGCTGGGTCCCCCTGTAAAATATTGTTTGACAGTGTGGGTTATGACCAAAATAGTTTGAAAGCCGCTGCTCTCTCGGGTCGGAGGAGAGCTGGGTGATGAATAAAAGGAGAGGTTCCTCTTCAACCTTACTAGATGGTGTCAAAGCATTTCCTGAGTGGGTTGTGCCAAAAGATACAGCTACCGTCAGCACATGATCACAGCCTACATACTAACCAGATTGTTATCATCAGTCTTCTATTTGGTAAGCTTATAACGGTATCACATGGTGCTTTTAACTTGTATTTCTATGGTTACTAATTAGTTCAAGTTGCTTCTCACATGTTTATAAAACATTTGTATTTCTTACTCTGTGAAATGCCCATTGTATCTTTTACCCACTTTTCCATTAGGTTATCATTTTCTTAATTTGCAGTTCCTTAAATATCCTGGATAGTAATCTTTTGTCAGTTTATTTTATAAATAGATTTTGGATTTTAACTGTCATACTTCATTTACTTACGTAGTCTTTCAGTAAACAGAAGTTCTTAAACGTAGTCAAAAATATCTTTTCTATTACTGCTAGCAC